AAGAAAAAGAAAACATTTTTTCAAAATAAAAACACACACTAAAAGGATTGATAAGTTTTCTAACCTGGTAGTCCCAAATCTTGACCTGGCGGTCATCTGCACCTGAAATCAGGTAGGGCTTGTCTCCTCCGCTGTAGTAGTCAATGCAGTTGACTCCTTTCTCATGACCCTCCAAAGTGAAGTTGGGAGAAGAAGAGCCCAGCTGCCAAACCTGTGCAAGACAAGAATGTGCTACAATCTTTACAAAGTGGTCCCTAGCAGATGGTGAATTGCAATCTGATCTGGGTGTGTCATAACACATTCAACAATAAGGTGTAATACGCTTTTTTTTTTAGATGCACAAATAAATAGGTCAGAGATCAGAAAGACACTTTGATTGGTTCTGTTCGATACATAAAAAAATGGTAAATTAATTGCTTCCCCTATTCATTAAATATTTCAAAACTAAGAACTCTCATTATGTTTATTCATTATAGACATATACCAACGGTAGGTACTTTGATGCACTGTTGAGATAAAAAAAATAGAACATAATAATAATAATAATAATAATAATAATAATAATAATAAAGGAGTAATATTATGCATTCATACAAAATTTGGGATTATCTTGTAAATCTCTTGTTTTGTTGGAATCAAAACTAACACCTCCTAATCTCCTAATCTTCTGAAGTATTTATATTAAATACTTCAGAAGCATTGCAGATAGGCATTAGATGTCATTATCGGCATAAAATACAGATTAGAAACACGACTACAGTGACAGCAAATGTGGCAACTTGCTCGCTGCAAGACACCTACCTTAATCGTTCTGTCCAATGAGGCGCTGGCAAACTGGTTGTTGTCCTTGGGGTTGATGACAATCTGCATAACATAATGAGTGTGACCCTCAAACACTTGGCTGCACGTCCACTTCTTTTCCCAGTCCCACAGCTTGATCAGCATATCATCTGCACAGACACAAAAACACAATCATCCTCATGTGCACCAAAATATACACAGCAGAAGCCTATCGTGTGTCTTAGTCAATAGCCTACCACTGCTGGTTAGGATGTACGGCTGGGTTGGATGAACAGCAATGCAACGGATATAGTCAGAATGGGCCTCAAACATATGGACCCTCTCCAAGGTGTTGTAGTTAAACACACGGATCTGCATGTCATCCTGTCAGGACAGAAGTAAGCATGAATACATTAACATAACGTACAGTATGATGTGGAATAATTACTATCCACATCATACTGTACATGCGGATAGTAATGTACAGCATTACATTACTATCCACTTTAGCTGATGTGAATAAACAAATAAACATGTTACTCACTGCTCCGGTGATGACCCAGTTCTTCCTGGCCACAAACTTGGACGCTCTGACAGGCAGGTCACACACCTCAAAAGTCTTGACCAGAGTCTAAAAATACACACAGAGGTTAGTGAATATAGAATGCGATGTTATCCCCTTTGTCTCCAAAACAAACGTGATCATTATTTAGAGTAACATTTTTACTATCAGGATGTATTATCATTATCATTGCATTACTCAAAAAAGTGCATATTTTGTGCAACCCCACTCGGTGATTTCTCTTTAAATCGTTTTCATACCTGCGTTTCGTGGTTCCATACGCAGACGCTGCCGTTGTAGAGACTGGCCAGCATCCATGGCTCGGTTGGGTGAAGATCCACACTCTTTACTCGGTCCGACCGGGCTGTTAGCCTCCTCTTAATGTCCAGCCTCAGAGGCTTCATAGATAAAAACAATAATGTGATTCCATACGCTGAGAAAACACATTATACAGCTAAGAACCGAAATGTGATTTATATCAACAGTTAGCGGCTAACACTGAACATGAACGACTTTACGCGACATAAATTATTTAATATATATGCATTATGAGACGTAAAATACGAAACATAACTCTACCAAGAAAGGTTTTAACATTTAAGGTCGAGGAAATATTTCAGCCTAAGCATTTTTTAGAAAGTTATCTCATATTAACTGACGCTCATTAGCCGCTAAGCTAACTCCAAGAGACTACTTCCATTTGACATTTCCTCAACATTTTTAAAGTTAATCGAGCATCTCAGCTGAAATATATCGAAACAATGCAAACGCATATGCCTTTAAAATGTAACTTACCATGTTTTATCCCCGTGTTATCGCAGTTTGATTGAATAAAATCGTTGCTAGCACTTCGGTCGGGGGGTTCTATTACAGTGAGCAGTGCATTGGACACTGACGTGGAACTTCCTGGAAGAAAATCTCGCGAGAATCGTGTTCTGTAAATGGTGACGTGACATGTAGGGTTTTTAAATGACGGTGCCACAGTGGCAAATATGACTGATGTTAGTTCTCTAAGAATCAATATTGTTATATAACATATTTGCATCATATTACATTCGACATTGTTCTATTAGACATTATTACGTTGAAACACCAATCATCCATAAGTTTATACAGTTACTAAAGTGTGTTATCAAAAAGTGTTGACCTGGGTATTCAAAAGCTTATGTATGGTAGAGGCACAGAAAACCAGGTATGCCAGCTCATGCTTTTAAAATAATTCATATTTTGCTCTAGACACGCCAGCTGAATGTTTTACCTGGGTTCAGGACAAGTCAATCATATGGAACCTACATCCATGGTAACTAGCCGAAAATGTATTAATATTTACAATACTGCACTATATAAACTATATATAGTTTAGCTGAATACCTGTGCTTTATTAAGATGAGATTTAGATTGAGTTTTCCAGTTGAAAACATGCTCAAGTTAACATGGCTGCAAGCAAATACCATGTATAAAAGAGCTTCATCAGACTTTTTTTTTTTCCGTATGTGGTGGTAATCTTTCTTTTCCAAAAGTCCTTTGGAACCTTATTAGAGTGCAAAGTATCATATACCCTGAAACCTTTTAAGATTTTAAGCAAAAATCTGCTAGCCCCTGACTAAAAACCAGAGGGCATGACGAGGGTCTTTCAAACAGGATGATGATCTGAAATGGTTGGGAAAAAACTTTTTCAGTGGTCATTTTACATGTAAAACTTTTAAAAACTCAAATAGGCCTGTAGAGGAGAGTCCATGGGGAAAAACCTGTGTCTCTGGATGAACTGGAGAAATTATTGTGAAAAGAGGTCAAGGATTCCACTCTCTGTCATGTGTACAAAACGTGTTATGATCCAACCTTCTGATTTACTAAAGGAAAGAAAAAGAGATAGTTTTTTTTATATCTATTTTTTTTTTTTTTGTAAATAATTGTTTCTCAATTGTTTTTTCATATTTTGCTATTAAATTACAAATTCATGTTAAGGGCTTCTACTCATCTGCACTTGTAATGATTTGTAATGTTGTGTAAGCATTTCTGGTTCAGTACAGGGTCAACTAATTATGGCAAAATAATCCTGCATGATACAGTTTAGAACACAGGAAATTCATTGTATGCAGGACAATCTGATTAGGGAAAAGCTTGCCGATTGAAGATGGACCACTTGTTCAGCTTTCTTGTCCAGCTGAGCTGCTGCAAAATCTCTGATGTTAGATTAAACTTTGGAAGTTTTGCACACTTTAGAGATGAAATAAGTGATGTCAAATGTCAAAAGGGAATAAAAAGTAGCAGCATTAAGGGGACTTGTGTTATAAAACTGAGTATGCAGCGTTTAGAAAGAACATTTTATGGAGGCTAAATTTAAATGTACTCCTATGGCGTCAGACTTTGTTTTGACCCCAGCCTCACATCATCATCTTTATTAGCCTAAAAAGCCAGAAAGAGAAATCAATGGCCCTCTGGGGAACCATAAATACACACAACCCACAGGTCAAATCGTGGCAACATGAGAAAGCGCATGAAACCAGAGGAGGCAGAACCACAGTGCGAGAAGCAAAAGCAGCAATGGATGAACAAAGAGATTCAGGCACAACCTGGAAAAATTAGTGCTGGCAATGCAAACATTGAGCTACAATGCCTACTCATTTGGAGCTCAGTGTGGGCAGAGTGATTGGCTCTTATTTCCATAATCTGAATGTGTAGCTGGAGACATCTTCTGTTCTGACAACTGTTCACTTCGGTGTCAGATCAAGAAAATGATGGAATATAGTCAAATTATAGGTTTGATACTTTTATTACCTTTTTATTACCAACATTACTGTAGTTATATTTGTCAATAGCTCATTCTTCTTGGTAACGCTACCTGTGATCCCACGTTTTTCTCGTCTACAAAGTTGAGAGTGTTGAGGAAATGCATAGATTCATTGAGATCTCTCAACCTCTTATGTGCCATCTGGACCCACTTCCTGCCCTGGTGGTTTCATCATGTTTATACAGTGAATATATAGTAAACTGGAAGAAAGCATTTCAGAGACTGCAAAAGAATTGGACGGCGAGTTGGGCCTGAAAACCAAAATTTATCCTCAGTGCATTTTTGTATTTATATGTTTAATAGTGGATTATAACACCAGGAAAGAACATGGAAAAAATCAGAAAGCCAATTTTTTTTTATATAGATTTCTTTTTCTAATTATGTCAACCATTAAAGGCAAATTTGAATGAATAAATGGATGAATGACTCATGTAGCGTGTTTTGTGCACCTTAGAGAATTTCTCATTTTAGTTTTGCTAACTTTTTGTGTCTTTCTGCTGCTGGAGGCACAGAACAAGCCTCTTTGTCCCAATGCTCATTTAGAATAGAGCAAAGTTATGGTTCTAGAAAAACTGCTACCACACCTTCTGAAACAAACAGACTGATCTGCAGCAAATTACATATCCATTGTTTGTTCTCGTGTAGCGTTTTATATTTTTACTACTTATTAGAACATTTTGACGTAAAAGCTTTGACTTTTACTTGACTTTTGAGGAGCATTTCACCTGGGGACACATGCATCGTTTGATTTAGAGTCGTGGACCCCAGCTCTGGACATTGGTAAAATCTGCAGGATGGTGGCTAGTAAGATTTGCAAATTGGAGACCATGACACAGGGTTCCAGACACAGAAATTGACACATGACACTGTTGAGAGGTGCTTCATTTATTGATTAACTCCTGTTAATATCAGCTGTACACTCTCAAAGAACTTCAGAGAAATAGAATCTGCGCACCGCATCTCGTTTGATTCTTATTCTGGGGACTGATTTGATCAAAAAAGGAAGACCAGAGCAATGCGGTCCGGTCAGATGTCATCAGTTTACATCAAAAACAGTTTGCTAAAGATCTTCCTCATTTCCACTAAACTTTTTCTCAATCTGGCTCAACTTTCAGATCAGCTAGCAGTGTGCAAACGTTCAGCTCATCTAAACCTGCTCATCATCAAAGCATCCGCTCTGAGACAATAACACAGCATTACTTCATTGTTTCTTGCCTCCCTGGCTTGATAACTAAGGAAACAATTCAAATTGAATACAACTGATTTCAGTGATTGTGAAATCAACGTGAGTAGTAGCAGGGTCAAAGAATGCTGGATGTTGCTGGGTATGGTCAATCTGGTGAGTCTTTTTGAGCCAGTTTCTGTTGGATCACTCTGTGTTGGTGAATAAGGCCAGGTTAGGTTTTCTTGAAAACCTGCTTGCAAACAGCGCCTCCAGCTCTCAGCTCCTGCAGAAGAAATATAAAATGAAATAAAAAAAAGAACTTCAGCACTTATAGATTTACCGACAAGAGACGACGTTTCCACTGACAATGTCAGCTTGATGGAAATTTCACAATAAGTTCAACATTAACCCACATTAAACCCCATGCTTTTGGATTGCAGCGGCTGCAAAAAAAAAAAAAAATATATATATATATATATATATATTATTGATAAAAGATAGAAGTTAAAAAAACCCTACACATTAATAAATCTAGATTTTCAATCAAAAAATAAATACCCTTCCTTTTTGTAAAAGAATTATGTTTTAGTTATAATGTAAAAACCAAATAAATAAATAAAATGAGTTTTTTTATTATTATTATTTATACTGTTGGCAGCTATAAAACTATTTGATCCATGTTAGAGCATTCAAACAAATGCAACCATTTTTCTGAAAAACTATCCATCCCACACTTTCACTTAGTGAAATAAAAAATATGATCTCAATAAATATCGTGTCTACTATCGTTTGTTCAAACATGCAATATATTTTCCACCACCAGAGGTCCCTGTTGCCCTGAAATCAGCCGCTCCTCAAAATGTTGGGAGAAATCCTGTAATGCCCAATTTCATGGCCGCAGCCCGAAAACATCTGCTGGCATCACTTAAACCAAATAATTTGGGAAATTACTTTTACTTTGCTTTCATAGCAGTAATCACACTGGAGAAAATCTTATATTATCGAGCTAATAAAATGGTAATGCGCTTGTCATTACTCGTGATTAAGGCTTTTGAATGATTTTTTTTTTTTTAACTGCAGATACATCAGAATATTAAGAATCTCTTGCGCATGCATAATTTCACTGATCTCATTGCAAGTCAGTTTAAGGGAAATATATTCCGAAGGCACAGAGCTGGCTGGCTAATTCAAACTGGAGTCACACATGAAGAGATATATGCGTTTCACATACTGTGCCGAGAGCCATTCTTGATCTGGATTAAAGTGTCTAAATTGCTTCGATTAATATTCATGCCAGGAGCCGCTGTTTTCTCACCAGATGAAGCTCGTCTCCCTCCACCCATTGGGTCCATCCTCTTCCTTCTATCTCTCCCTTCTGAACACACACTAGTTTGTCTCCCTCCCAGGTGACGGTGGTCTGTCAGGAGCCACAAGAATAAAAATCAAAGTAAGCATTACTTACAGAGGCATTTCAAAAAGATACATACAAGTAGAACGATAAAACAACCAGAGGCGGAAAAAAAAGAAGAAAAAAAGCTGAAATTGTGGAAGCTCTGGAAGCAGGTTAAAATAAAACGTGAATTAAATTTTAAATAATAAAATAAAGAGTTAATGAATGTACTTTAAAAGCTGATTACAAACAGATTATCTAAGCGCATTCCCTTCCATCCTACATCCATAAATTAAACACCAGTCTCCCTTGTTCCCCGTTTTCTAATTATTCCCACACACGTGAATCTCTCTTGAGCAGCCTCCTACCAGTCAAGAGCTTATCTGTAATCAGCCTATCAGTATACAAACCCCTCTTTCAATGGGATCGCAGGCTAATCTTTGATCCTATTCAGCATTCAGAAACACAGTCTGGTTAAATAAGTCCTGACTTTGACGCTGCCCGTTTCAGCGCTTCTCCCCCCCCCCTGCGGTGCCAGGCCGTTGGTCTTCATTACATCCAGTCACGGAGAAGACTGCTTAAAAAATATATAATAATAATAATAATAATAATAATAATAATAATAATAATAATAATAATAATAATAATAATAATAATAATAATAATAATAAGTCTGTGGAGAAAGTTTTGGAGTGAGAGGAAAAGTTGTGTAAAAAAAAAAAAAAGACCAGCTCTCACCACACCATCTGCTCATTAAACTGTAGTCTGGAGAGGTGGTGGTGGGGGTGGGCTCCTACTGAATCAACCCACAGATTGCAGCATCCGAGTCTATCCGCGCCACAGGCATCCACACTTCTTTTTTTTTTTTTTTTTAACAATGCAACCACCAGCTGCCTGTGATGCACCACTGGTGGTGCTCCGCATAAATCCTCTCACCATGCATTTTCTGTCATCGACTCCTGTGAGATCCTCCTCAAACTCCTTGCCCACGTGGAAGTCCATGTTGTAGTTCTTGAAGGTACTGAGGGTCTTGATCATCAGGTGGTCCCCGTCTTGAACGATGTCCTTGTCAGGTTTCAGTAAAAGGGCAATTTTTCTTATGGCAACATTTACCTCTGCAACAATATGCAATTGCAATACATTTAGTTTTTTTGTTTTTGTTTTGTTTTATGAATGTAAAAACTATATAACTTTATGACAATTATCTACTTAGTCAGATCTAAATAAGGCTGGCCTGATGTGAACTCACCCAGAGCCTTCATGTACTCCTCAAAGTTGTCATTGGAAACCATTTTCCAGTATCCATTCATGTCGACGGGCATTTCGACTGCGTCTCTGCGGCTCTTTCTGGGAGGCTGGCCGGGGCAGATCCGCTGCGCTGTGCTCGGCCGCTGGAGAGGAGAGTGAGGGAAACGCTGCTAAAAGTCCCAATTTGAACCAAACTCGCTCTAATCCGATTACCTGCCGACTCTAATTTTTTTTAATTGAAATTATCGTTCGCACCTCCCTCTTCACCTCCCACAGCCGATAATCCGTATAATGTCTCAATCCCCTCAGCATACATACAGTAGGGAACCTGACGCGTGCAGATAGGATGTGTAATGTAAGAGGGGGGGAAAAAATACACAAAGACTTCTGTGTGCTTTATGCTGATGCAGGCTGTGCTTGTCTATGTGGGATTAGAATAAAAACCACATTGATTTTACACGCAGTTCCATTTTTGGAGCATATTTTTGTCTGTAAGCTGATTTTGTGGAGGCCTGCTTTATCGGCAAAATTAGCCTTACATCTGACTGCAGGGCAATTTAAAAATAGAAGATCAAACTCCCAGAGGTGTGTTACAGTCCTTATGTAAGACACATTACAACCACACAATTCAATTTAATGGATTGTTGTGAGGTTAAAAGAGACAAGAAAAATAGTTTCTTAACAAATGTTTGCACTCAGCCTACCAGACACACCATAAAAAAAACTTGGTAACACTTTATTTGAAGGGGGGTGAATAAGACTGACATGACACTGTCATAAAAACCTGTCATGAACATGAATAAGCCTTCATGAATATTTATGACTGTTGTCATAAAGCATCATTCGGTAAATTATGACACTTTTAATACAAAGTTGACATTATTCAAAATGTCTTTGTTATGACAACTTGACATTAACCAAGAAATCATTACTGAAATATATTTGTTGTAAAATAATTACTGATTGCACTTTAAAAACTAGGAAACTTTAAGTTATTAAAGGTAAAGTTAAAACAGTAATGATTTCTTGGTTAATGTCAAGTTGTCATAACAAAGACATTTTGAATAATGTCAACTTTGTATTAAAAGTGTCATTATATTTACCGAATAATGCTTTATGACAACAGTCATAAATATTCATGAAGGCTTATTCATGTTCATGATAGGTGTTATGTCATGCTTATGACAGTGTCATGACAGTCTTATTTCATTTTATTTTTTATTTTTTTAGCCTCCAGTTTTCTTCCACAATTATCCTGTGTTTACCTCCATCCATCATCCCAGCAACTCTGACCAGCTTCCCTGTGCCTGAAGATGAGCATACCAAGCACCTGACTTTACATGTTTACTATTTCCTCTAGTTTGGAAAACTGTACACAGAACTTGTAATTTTCCTTTCACCACTCTTCTATAATAACCATCAAAAAAAATTTTTTTTTCAGGGCATGCTTACTGGTGGGTGCTCATTTGTGTTGGTAGACTCCTAAAATCCTTTTAGGAAATTGCAACAATACAAAATGAGGAAACAATTCGAGGGATGAATACCCTTGCATGGGACTATGCAAATGACAGGACGGTAGAAAGGAACATTGACAGCACAGCTAAATCACCTGAGCTTTAACCAATCTAAATTAAACCATTACACAGAGCACAATAGGCCTGCCACTTCTTTTGTCTTCCCTAAATAACTCAATTAATTTGCTAATCTCTCTTTTGAGCCCGCCGAGTTGCACGGCGCGGCGCAAACATATCCGCACACACACACACACACACACACACACACACACACACACACACACACACACACACACACACAGAGCAACACACCATCCTCATCCTTTCTGAGGATGCCATCCGGCATCAGCAGTGTGGCAGCAATTGCAGCCATGGGCCTGGGTGAGAAAACACCTCCTGTAGCCGAGCAACTGTCAGGATTACTTTAAATCCTTCTGTGAAAATAATATCGGCCTCCCAGACACAGCGTGGGGAGGATAATGGGGAGACTGAATGGATCCAGAATGAATTGCTATTTGGAAGGAGCTGCAGAGAACAGACACCCACACTGGAATTCGAAGGACAAAGCGGGGAGGGAAAAAAGGGATAGTTGATGATCTGTGCAAGCAGTGTTGTGGTGGCCTGCTGCTAACCTGTAAAATAACAGATACTTTCCCAACATTTTAGGACTACAGGCTACACAGATGGGTGAATGTTCCCTTCAAAACCTCATAAGCATTTTATTTTGAGAAAGAAAAAAGAAAATTCTTAAATGTTAAATCTGTTATGTACGTTCACTCCTCTCTATACAACAAGAACCGTCTCAACACATTGTAAGGTTTCCAGGCACCACTGGAAGCAACTGGATATTTTAGCTGTAGTACAACAAAAGTTTGACTTTTTTCCATTTAGTTTTTAATAATTAAAATGTCAAAAATTCCTAGTTGTGGGGAGGAGGGGGGGAGAGAGGAAGTTGAAATTCTGAACAAAAAGGTCAGAGGCTTTTTACCAACCAGGAGAGTAATATCCAATATGGCTGCTGCACGTAGTAAGGTGTATTTTTTGCACTTCTGATCGTAAACTGAGAATTTGAAGCTAACATATTTCATTTTATATCCAGCTCCGTGTGTGAGATGCTTGATATGAGAATGTAGTTTGTCCAGAATGACTTGTCGTAGTGCAAAGTCCTCTAAAACACGTTCCAGTCGACCAGTTTATATTCTGCTTAACAAGCCGATGAGGCAACAACATGAAAGTTGTTGCCTTCAACCACCAATGAGCAACAATCCTTAAATGTACTGAAGATGTGTGTTTTTTTTAACTTAAGGAAAGCTTGTTTTGATATTTTTTTTTTGTCATTACAGTGACAATATATTGCTTTAGCTTTGACCGCAGCACATATTCATTGTGGCGTCGTTTTGTTTGATCTAGAGTAACACAACATTTATCTCCACCTATATAGAGTTACTCACTGATGAGTGTTTCTCTTAAGGCTATAAAATATGTGGGTTGCTCTGTTGAACTGTGGTTAGCGTTGTTACCTTGCAGCAAGAATGTCCTGTGTTTGAATACCGACACAGGGCATTTCGATATGGGGTTTGCCTGTATTGTATAAGTGTGTGTGTGTGTGTGTGTGTGTGTCGTAGTTCGTCTTGTGTGCCCCCGTCATGGACAGGCGATCTGTCCAGGGTGTACCCTGTATTGAAACTACTGAAGATGACCTTTGTAAAGCAGTCAGTTAAGCAATTTTCTTAGTTTCTATGTAAGTGGAGTTTGAGGTTGAGAGTGGTGAGAAATACAAAACAGAAACATAAAAAAAATGGTTCAAATATAAAGATTTTATTCCATTTTATGGCATAATATGAGGAGGAAATAAGATGGGGAAAGACAGAAAAACCTTATAAAAATAAAGTGACCATAAGTGTAAGTCTCTGCTAATACAACATATTATTTATTTGCATGCATTAAAAGGCACTGGAGCCAGTCCAGATGTGCTCTTTTGCAGACCGTTTCACGCTGTGCGAATCGCGTTAAAGTCTACGAATCCTCCACGACGGGCTGATGGATGGGAGCTTAGTTTGCTTTATCAGTCGTCCAGACTCTTTATCGGCTGATGTGCCTGTTTGATAAGCGGCCTGAGCGCAGTGCCCTCGTTTCTCCTCTCGCTGTCCTCCGTGTAGAGCTCGTGCTGGTGAATGTACTCTATCACGGAGTCTGGGATCAGGTACTTCACGCTCTGGTCCCGTCTGAGCGCCCGACGGATCTCCGTGGCGCTCGTCTCGTTCCTCACCCACTCCCTCACCAGGAAAACGTTCCGCCTGTGGCGGAAGAGCGTGTCCGACTCGTGCACCGCCCGCTCGGGCTGCAGACTCCCTCTGCTGACGCAGACGAGGCCGAAGCGTTGGACCAACTCCTCCACGTGGTCGTCCAGCCACAGGCCCGGGATCTTGAAGCTGGAGAGGAAATCGGCTCCGCACAGCAGCTTCAGCTGGGGGAACGGGCCTGAGAGGAGAGGGAAACGGCATCGTTACGACAGCTTGACACAAAAATCTTCCTGTCAGTGTTGTGAAACTGCAGTTTGGTGTCGAATCCAACACAAACATCTGTTACAGCAGTCATCTTATGAGTTAACAGCAGAACATTACCTCATCTCAGACCCCTTCATATTAATCCATGAATCATTTGTACAGTTTTTATGATAAACCTGCAACTAGTAGGATATTCCATTGCAAAGATGATATGAGAATATATTAAAGTCAATTTTCTAAATACTATTTTACTTATTTTAGGAATAAATCTGCACAAACCATCCTACCGCGTACGTCACAAAATAGTGGTCCCACTATTTTTCCCACTAACGGACGGTGATTGACCAGATTTTTAAAAAGCTAAGCTCAACAAACCAAGTGTTGTTACTCAAAGACCTTGAGATGGAGATGATCAGCAATCATAGGAAGAAAAATTTGTCCAAGGGCAATAATGTGTAAAAAAAAAAAAAAAAGAATTACCAGTTCATAAAATATTTTAAATATTCAAGGTTGGACCAAAGTCATGAGCATAGACTTTTAATTTTAAAAAAGGCATTTGTTTTTATAGAAAATACCTATTTCAGTCATTTTCATTTCCCCAGTGACTCAGTCTACCTCAGTCTTACTTGATGGAGACGCAAAGTTCTCACTGGCGTCGCTGTGCCTTCCTGCGCTTTGCTCATATTCTTTCAGAATCCGCCCATGATGATACCTGGTGAACAAAGACACAAAAGAAATCTAGGTTTGTGTGTATACGTATACACGTCGGAGTTTACTCAAACTAAACATTAATGGAAGTCAAATATCATTGACCAGATCAGGAACCAGAACAGTTTTCAAATAAAGCTCCTTAAAGTTTGGTGTGCATGTGGTGTGACACGGCCTCCTTACGGCGCCACGACAACGGTCCACTTAATTTCTGATAATAAGCGCCTGATGGCTCTCAATGCAGATTACTGGAGTCCCAAAGCCATAGAAATGATTTTTATTCACGCATGTCAATAGCTTGTTTAATAATTGTCTGTTTAGCCTACTTCAAGTTGTAATACAGGTTCTGTTTAACAGATTTCTTGTTACTGGAGATCCGATGGAAATCCAGCCTGCGTTTGGCAAGTAAAATTGAACTTAGCCAGCTGAAAAATATAGTTGATCACAATTAATTTATGACGAGTAGGAGCAATTACATTTTTCCAT